TGGCCTTAAACTCAGCGATCCACCCACCTCTGTCCCACAGATGTTAGGATTAAAGATGTGTGCCACTGTGCCTGGCCTCTTCCCCTTTTCTTGCGTTCTCTTGCTGTCTATGATTTTTAAAAGGAGATTATTTATTTATTTAGGTTTTTGAGAAAAGGTTTCTCTGTGTAACAACGCTGGCTGTCCTGGACTCACAGAGATTGCTGCCTGTGCCTCCCGAGTGCTGGGACTGAAGGTGTGTGCCACCATGCCTTTTAATGGAAGGCTATCATTAAGACTTGTGCTTTGGTCCAAGTCCTGAGCACTTGACAGGCAAACTGCCTAGCTGGTTCCTAAATCAAGGAACACATACACACTTCTGGTTTGTCGCCCCACAATGCTTATCTCCAGCTCCAAGTTCCTTTCTTCGTGGAGTCCTTTGCCTTTTGCTGTATCGTTTCAGCCAGGTGAATCCCAGGGTGCATATTTCTAAGGGGAGTCACTAGAGCCCTCTGGGGTCCCAGCTTTCCCTCTTGCTGAGATCCCATCTTTGATGATAATTGTAAACTTAGGACCAGAAAGAGAAGAATCTTTGGGACCCAGGGTCAACAACAGGAAGTTACGGGTGCTGAGGACTGCAGGTCTTATCAGATGCTATCCACACTAGGCCTCCCTCTTCAGCCTCTCAGTCTATCAAGATGGAATTAAATTCCAGGATGGTTTTGCCTACCAGGAAGGAAGCCGAGCGGGGTGACTATGTGAGACCAGGTCTTGGTGACTTCACTTAAAATCTTGGATACAACCGTGGGCAGAACTAGATCTGCCTTCAGGGGTTTTTGGCCATGTAAACTAATAAATTCCCTGTTTTGTTTCAGTCAAGGTTAGGTTTTCCGTCCTGTAATCACATGAGCTCTGAATAATTCTCTTCGAAAGGTCAGCAGATAAAAGCTACCGATGTGGAACCACTGATATCTTCACTCATTACTCAGTTCCTCCATGAGCCACTCTGCTCTGGACGACGTGCACTATCATGTCATTTGGCCCTAAAGTATTTAAAACAAAACAAAAATCCCTCAACTACATAAGGCGGTGTGGTGGTGCACACCTTTAATCCCAGCACTTGGGAGATAGAGGCAGGTGGATCTCTGTGAGTTCCAGGACAGCCTGGCCTGGCCTGTGTGTGTGTGTGTGTGTGTGTGTGTGTGTGTGTGTGTGTGTGTGTGTGTGCAAGCCATGGTGAACAAGTGGAGGTTACAGAACAGCTTTTGGGAGTTGGTTATCTGTTCCACCGTGTGTGTGTGTGTGTGTGTGTGTGTGTGTGTGTGTGTGTGTGTGTCCTGGGGAATGAATTAGGTCATCAGGCTTGGTGGCAAGTGCCTCCACTGGCTAATAAGATGTTGTGGGGATATAAGATATTGAAGGAAGGAGGTGCCAGATAAATCATTTTGTTCCTTTCTGATTCTAATTTTGCCTTTCAACAGTTTTCCTCCTGAGTCTGTCCCTTCCTCTTCATGAGTCTCACAGCTAACCTTGAACTTGGGTTCTTCTTGCCTTGGCCTCCTAAATTGCTGGGATTATGGGCCGGGACCATTAGGCATGATATCCTAGGCCATACACTCCTGCAGACACCAGGAAGAAGAGGACTAATTAATAAACATTTTTATTACAAGGGGCTGACACCCCCCCCCCAAGTAACAGGACAGATGACCCCCTCCCTGAGGTCAGTCATCTACACTGTAAGGCTTCATCCTGGACAGACTATGGCCCTCGAGTGAAGAAGCCCATGGAGGACCATAACTGAGACAAGTGATCAATCAGACCACCTCCACCCCAGTCAGAGATGCAAACTCCGGGTAACGTGCTTCCTTTAAAACTTCAAAGTTGCCATTAGTCCCTTGAAAATGAACTTGGGGTCACTGATCTTGTGGCAGGGTCCTGTGCTGTGGTTCCCTTTTGGGGGAGGGGGCCAAATAGGTGCAGAGTCAATGACACAGACTCCGGGAGAATGTCAAAACCACAATCTCAGTTTATTCAGGAAGAAGCAAGCCTTATATAAACTCCACCCCACCCTGGGGGGAAGGTCTGATGAAT